CTGAGGTTCACTCAATGATTTGACAGAATCAGGTGGGAATGGGGGTGGGGGTGGGGAGAGAAAGATTTTTCTTGAGTTTGCCAGGACTTCCATAACAAAGTACCACAGATTGGGTGGCTTAAACAACAGAAATTTATTTTCTCATAGTTCTGCAGGCCAGAAGTCCAAGAACAGGGTGTCAGCAGATCTGGTTTCTTTTGAGGTCTCTCTCCTTGGCTTGCAAATGACCTCCTCCTTCTTGCTGTGTCCTCACATGGTCTTTCCTCCATGTCTGCACATCCCTGATGTCTCCCTGTGTATCCTAATCCCTTCTTCTTTATAAGGACACCAACTGGATTAGATTAGGGCCCATCTAATGGCCTCATTTTAATTTATTACCTCTAAAAGCCCCATCTTGAAATACAGTCACATTCTGAGTACAGAGGCTTCAACATATAAATTTGGGGTGAACACAGTTCTGAACACAGATCAACATCTGTTGTCTAACAACTTACCCCAAACTTTAGTGGTGTAAAACAAAAAGAAAATTTTTTTAAGTAAGCTCTATGCCCAATGTGGGGCTTGAACTCATGACCCCAAGATCAAGAGTCACATGCTCTAACAACTGAGCCAGGCTGAAAAACAAAAAAAATTTTTTTTTTTAAGATTTTATTTATTTATTTGTCAGAGAGAGAGAGACAGAACACAAGCAGGGGGAGAGGCAGGCAGAGGGAGAAGCAGGCTCCCAAGGAGCAGGGAGCCTGATGTGGGACTCGATCCCAGGACCCTGGGATCATGACCTGAGCCGAAGGCAGCCGCTTAACCAACTGAGCCACCCAGGCGTCCCTGAAAAATAAAATTTTTTACGAACTCATAGATTACGTAGGTCAGAAATTCAGAAAGGGCATAGTGGGGATGGCTCTTCTCTGTTCCATGATGTCTGGGCCCTCAGCTGGGAGTGACACAAATGGCTGGGTGCTGGTCAACAGCTGAGTGAGAGGACCCATTTCCGAGATGGCTTCTTTACTCTCGTGTTTTGTGCTTGGGCTAAAATGGCTAAAATATATGCTTAGATGGTACTGTCAACCACAACAACTACGTGTGGCCTCTCCATGTGACTTGCACTTCCTGGTCAGATGGCCGCCTTGGGGAAGAATGAGTGTTCCAGTATTCAAAACACACAGTGTCACCTCTGTACAATACTGACTGAAGCAGTCACAAGCACAGATAAAACAAGTGCCAGAGAATTTGTGGCCATGTCAGGAAACTGCCCCAATAGGTGTGTCCAAACTAGCTACTCCATCACTGTCCCAGGTACCCTCTGTGAAAGGACTAATTTAATTCTCTCTCCAGACTGTTGGTTCTTGATATCCTCCAAAGTTTGTTAAGACTTTTAAACTTTTTTTAAGTTTATGTATTTTTTTTTTTTTTTAAGTAATCTCTACACCCAACTGTGGGGCTCGAATTCATGACCCTGAGATCAAGAGTCACAGGCTCTTCCAACTGGGCCAGTCAGGCACCCCTGCTAAGCTTTTTATCTGATTAATTCCTCTCAGCACTGATGTGTCAATAGCTACACTCAAGTTATTTTCTCGTCATGCATCTTCAGTTTGCAGTATTTCAAGGCTTTTTCAGTATCATCCTCTCTCACAATTTGCTTGTGGATACTTAGGTCTTTCATATTCTGGGGAGGAAGTCACACTTTTAGTATCCTTTTCCTAAACCATTTTGTTCAGTTGAAAGGAGTTAAAAGGGTGTTGAACTTTATTTATATTGAGATACAATGGACATATAACATTATATTAATTACAGGTGTACAACGTAATGATTCAATATTTGTATACATTGTGAAATGATCACCATGATAAATCCAGGTAACATCTGTCACCTTATATAGTTACAATTTTTTTCATGTGATGAGAACTTTTAAGATCTATTCTCTTAGCAACTTCCAAATATACAATACGGTATTATTAACTACAGTCACCATGCTGTACAGTCCATCCCCAGGACTTATTTATTTTATAATGAGAGGTTTATATCTCTTGACCATCTTCACTCATGTCACTCACCTCCACCCCCCAACTCTAGCAAAACCAAGCTGTTCTCTGTATCTATGAGGTTTTTAAAATTTCACATATAAGTGAGATCATATGGTATTTGTCTTCCTCTGTCTGACTTATTTCCTTTCTTTAAAAGATTTTATTTATTTGACAGAGGAAGAGAGACTGAGAGAGAAACAGCACAAGTGGGGGCAGAGGGAGAGGCAGAGGGAGAGGGAGAAGCTGGCTCCCACTGAGCAGGGAGCCTGAGATCATGACCTGAGCTGAAGGCAGACATTTCACTGACTGAGCCGCCCAGGTGCCCCTCTGTCTGATTTACTTCACTTGGCATAATTCCCTCAAGGTCCATCCATGTTGTTGTAAATATCAAGAATTGCTTTTCTTAAGGCTGAATAATATTCCATTATATATATACATATGTATATATATATAATATATATACACATATATATACCACATTTTCTTTATCCATTCATCTGTCAGTGGACACCTACATGGCTCTCATGTCTCGGCTACTGTAAGTAATGCTGCAGTAAATATGGGGGCACAGATATCTTTTCAGGTTAGTGTTTTTGTTTTCCTCAGATAAATAGCCAAAAGCAGAGATGCTGGATCATTTGGTAGTTTTATTTTTAATTTTTTGAGACTCCTCCACAGTGGCTGCACCAATTACATTTCTACCAACAGTGCACAAGGTTCCCTCTTCTCCATATCCTTGCCAACATTTGTTATGTCTTGTGTTTTGATTTTAGCAATTCTGAGAGATGTGAGGTGATATTCTCATTATAGTGTTGATTTTCACTTCCCTGATGATTAGTGGTGTTGAGCACCTTTCATGTACCTGTTGGCCATCTGTATGTCTTCTTTGGAAAAAATGTCTATTCAGATCCTCTGCCCATTTTTAATCAGATTTATTTATTTATTTACTTATTTATTTAGCTATTGAGTTGTATGAGTTCCTTATACATTTTGGATATCAACCCTTTATCTGATATGTGATTTGCAAAAATTCGCTCCCATTTGGTAAACTGCCTTTTTATTTTGTGGGTTTCCTTTGCTGTGCATAAGCTTTTTAGTTTTAGTCCTACTTGTTTATTTTTGCTTTTGTTGCTTTTGTTTGTGGGATCTAATCCAAAAAATCATAAGCAGGACCAATGTCAAGGAGCTTATTGCCTGTTTTCTTCCAGGAATTTTATGGCTTCAGGGCTTATTTTCAAGTCTTTAATCCATTTTAATTTTTGTATATGCCGGAATACAGTGGTCCAGTTTTATTCTTTTGCATGTGGTTGTCCAGTTTTTCCAACACTACTTATTGAAGAGGCTTTCAATATGAAATATGAAAGGACTTTCCATATTCTTGGCTCCTTTGTCATAAACTAATTGACCATATACTCGCGGATTTATTTCTGGGCTCTCTGTTCTGTTCCATTGATCTATGTGTCTGTTTTTATGCCAATACCATGCTGTTTTCATTACTATAGCTTTGTAACATAATTTGAAATCAGGAAGAATGATGCCTCCAGGTTTGTTCTTCTTTCCCAAGACTGCTTTGTCTATCTGGGGTCTTTTGTGGTTCCAAACAAATTTTAGGATTATTTCTTCTGTTTCTTTTTTTTTTTTTTTAAGATTTTATTTATTTATTTGAGAGAGAGAGAGCATGAGAGAGGGGAGGTCAGAGGGAGAAGGAGACTCCCTGCTGAGCAGGGAGCCCAATGCGGGACTCGATCCCAGGACTCCAGGATCATGACCTGAGCCGAAGGCAGTCGCTTAACCAACTGAGCCACCTAGGCACCCCATTTCTTCTATTTCTGTAAAAAACTGCCATTGAGTTTTTATAGGGATTGCACTGGATTTGTAGATTGCTCTGGGCAGTATGAACATTTTAACAATATTAATTCTTCCAATTCATTAGCATAGAATATCTTCCCATTTATTTATATCTTTAGCTACTTTCACCAATGTTTTATGGTTTTCAGTATATAGTTCTTTCACCTCCTTGATTAAATTTATTCCCAGGTATTTTATTCTTATTGATGCAACTGTAAATAGATTTGGTTTCTTAATTTTGCTTTCTGACAGTTCACTATCAGTGTATAGAAATGCAACAGACTTTTATATTTTGATTTTGTATTCTGAAACTACTGAATTTGTTTATCAGTTCTAACAGTTTTTGGTAAAGTCTTTAGGATTTTCTATATAAAATATCATGTCACATGCAAACAGTGACAGTTTTATTTCTTCCTTTACAATTTGGATGACTTTTACATCTTTTTCTGCCTAATTGCTCTGGCTAGGACTTCCAATACTATATTGACTAAAAGTGGCAAAAGTGGACATCACAGTCTTGTTCCCTAGTAATTTTTTATTGGATATTGAATCTTGTGAATGTCATATTATTTGGGAATGAGTATTGTATTCCTTAAAGAATGTTAAATATTTTCTGACCATTAGGTAAGTTACTGGCAGGTTAGTTTGATCCTTTTAAGGTTATTGAAAAGTCTTTTTAGGGTGAGTCTTGAAGAGCTTTTTTCTGGAGCTAATTTAGTCCCATTTCTAAGATATATCCCTTGTGGAGTCTCTACTAAATGTCCTTTGTATTCAGTGAAGTCTCTCTAGTTTGGATGGAAGAAACTCTAATAATTAATGTATGGGCATGTGGACTATTCATCTTATAGCTCCCCAGTAATTGTTCCTTCCTTGGAAGCTGCTCTTTTCCAGCTTCATGGGGTCTCATCATATATAGTTACAGATTGGTATTTTGTCAAAACATGAGGGAATCCATGCAAATTTCTGAAGTTCTTTCTCTGTGTAGCTCTATCCTCTCTCGTCCTATAAATTCTAATTCCCTGAAATCTAATCTCTGTCTCATTAATCCCAGAAGACTGTCAAACTCTTTCTGTGTCATAGTCTAAGAATTATTATAGGACAGAAAACCCAGGAAATGGAAGGGGGGCTCACCTCTTTTATTCTTCTTTTCTCAAGGATAAAGTCCACTGTTAGCTTATATCTAATATCTAAAAATAGGTGTTTCCTATATTTTGTCCACTTTTCTAGTTGATTACAGTCGGAGGGTAATTCCAGATTCTTAATCTCTCCTGGCTGAAAAAAAAAAAGGCAGGATATTTAAATACTTAATCAAAACATTCAAGCTAAGGAGCTTAGCTACTTCAATTGTGTACTAATCTATGTCCAAGCTTCCTGGAATTCAAAGATTATAAGGGCAATAACTTCTGTACCTGTTCTTTAAGAATATAAACTCACAACTGGCCGTGTACATCATCAAATACATTGAACTTTCTTCTGCATCAGAAACATTCCCAGTCGAAGGGAAAGAATTTTATTTATAGAATCCTCTTCTCCCTGGCCATTTAATTGTCTTTCTGTGTTTTCTTAAAACTGCTTTCTTATAGTCTGGAGCATATGTATGATTACTTCTTAGCTTTCCCTTCCCCCATTCTGATACTCTCAATTCTGATGAAACTCAGAATTCTATCATTTCCACATCATTGTAATTTCTTCATTTTTCTTTAGAATTTGGTCCAAAATTACTCCTTCCACCACCTGCTTCTAGGGAAAGTGATTATAAGGGCAGAATTTACCAGTGCTCTGCTTTTAGAAGATTGGGACTTTGCACAGACATCTGTCTGTTCAGGAGACGTTCCCCATCCTTATTATATCTTCTTTCTAGGCCAATCTTGTATTCTGCATGAGGAAAGCATTCCTGAGGCAGTTCTCCTATTACATTCACCCCATCTATTCTTCTCTGTGTTTAATTTCAGCCAAATGGCCTCTGAATCCATTTTACTGATGGGGAGGGTGTATAGAATTGGTCTTAGTATAGAATATGGCTCTTTCTAGATAACAATGTCTCATAGTTAAATGATGATTATTTGTTATTTTCCCCAGATCTCTTGCCCTCTATTATTTTGCATAGCAAGGGTAGGGCAGCAAGCACAGGCAACATTGTCAACAGCCATCAAACCCCCAGGTTAGGAGGAAGGAGTGTCAGGCTCAAGGAAAGATGGGTTAGTAATGTAAACAGAGAAGTGGAGGAGTGAAAGCAGCCATGTCTATTTTGGGTTTTTGGTTTTTGTTTTTTTGTGGTGGTTTGGTAAATATAAATAGGTCCTGTGCCTTTTTTTTTTTTTTTTACTGATTAGAATTCCATAAGGTTTAATGATTTTTTGAAAACTACAATATATTTTACATGACCCATAATTTACTATCATACCCATATTGGCTCCTCTGGGATTTATACTAAAGGAATGTGCACACCCAAATAAAAAAATAGCTGGCTCTGTGTATCTTGAATATCAAATGTGAAAGGACCAGGTACTGATAAGCTAATTAGAGTATTAATATATACAAAAAGCAGTCCAAGCAGGAAACAAAAGTAATACAAAGTTTTTTAAAGTACAGTATTTATACCCCTCACCAGACATAACTGATAAGATAAAAGATCAATTTTTCCTAATGCTAAATGAAGTACATTTTCTCCCTCTTCAAATATTATGAACATTATTTCCATAAAACCATTAGATAAATGTGAGATGATTGGTTCCACCTATATTCAAATGGGTTCAGTAGCATTTCCCAGAACCATCATGCATATGTCACACACACACACACACACACACACACACACACACACACACACGGTTGGGTGAGGGAGAGAGAGAGAGAGGCTAGAGACCAGACAATTGTATACTTGAAATAAGAGTGAATTATGTGACTATCATCCTAGTGTTCAAAAAGTAGTGACATATTATCTTGGAAAAATGCTTAAAAAATCATAGAAGATGGGGTGCCTGGGTGGCTCAGTCCATTGAGCATCCAACTCTTGATTTCAGCTCAGGTCATGACATCAGGATCATGAGATGGAGCCCTGCATTGGGCTCCACATTCAATGTGGAGCCTGCTTAAGATTATCTCTCTCCCTCTCCGTCTGCCCCTCCCCCTATTCTCTCTCTCTTAAAAAAAAAAAACATAAAAGAATAGGATACTAAATTGTATTCTTCAATATGGCCAACTATGTAAACTAAAAGCACATACAATATTAGATGTGACTTCTGGTTAAACATTATAGACTGAATGCAAGTATTTCTCTGTTGCCTCCTGAAACCACAGTTAAATGATGACAAAATAATTGCTAAAAAAAAAACTAACAAAGAGAATACACCCAAAAGGTAAAAAAAAATGCCATTAGAGATACCAGTGGATGAGAGACATCATTTAAATTTTAGATCCCTGATAACAGATATGCAAGTGTTAACTGACTTGGAAAGCCAGAGAAAGCTGAAGAAGTAAGACATAAACAAAAAAGGAAGCCAATTCATGCCTCCATACCCATGAAAGGCTCAGGAATTTGTGAAGTTGATTATATCTGATAGCAGAGGTACAGAATTTCTTAACCATCTATTTTAAAAACATTTAGACCATACAGGTCTTCTTGTTGACTTCACACAACCAGACACAATCCCAGAAGACTTCAAATCATTAACATCCTCAGAGATTTGGGAGAATTATTACATCTAAAAGAGGGTCAGATTGCTGTACTTAAATTATAAATATAATGGCTGATGTATAAAAATCAATAGAATGGTTGGAGAATAAAGTGGAGATATCTTCTAGAAATTAGAACAGAAAGACAATGAGATGGAAAATTGGATAGAAAAGAGAAGAAAATGAGAGGATCAGACAGGAGATTCTATATGTACTAATAGACATTCTAGAAAGAACAGAGAAATTAAAGAGGAAAAAATTATTGAAGACTTATATGAGAAAAATTTCCAGAAATAAAGAATGAAAATTTAGGGTGGAAGGGGCTATTGAGTGGGAAGCATAATGGATAAAAAATATGTTCCACACCAATGAAGAACATCACAAAGTTTTAGATCACAAGGGATAGAGCTACCCTTCTAAAAGTTTTCAGAGAGAGAAAAACAGTTCTATACATAGAAACAGGAATTAGAAAACAACAACAAAAAAAATACCTTTAAAATTCTTAAAATCCTTGTCAATTTGAATGCCTTTTTAAAAAGACTTTATTTATGGGGCGCCTGGGTGGCTCAGTCGTTAAGCGTCTGCCTTCGGCTCAGGTCATGATCCCAGAGTCCTGGGATCGAGCCCCGCATCGGGCTCCCTACTCCGCGGGAAGCCTGCTTCTCCCACTCCCCCTGCCTGTGTTCCCTCTCTCGCTGTGTCCCTCTCTGCCAAATAAAAAAAAAAAAAAAAAAGATTTTATTTATTTGAGAGAGAGAGAATGAGTGTCCGAACTGGAAGGAGAGGGAGAGAGAATTTAAGCACCGAGTCCAACTGGGGCTTGATCCCACGACCACTAGATCATGACCTGAGCCAAAACCAAGAGTTTAACCTACTGAGCCACCCAGGTGCCCCAGGATGCCTTTTATTTCTTTTTGTTACATGACTGCTATGGCCAGAACTTCCAGTATTATGTTGAATAAAGACATAATACATACAAGGTATATGATATATAATATAAATATAATAAATATAAAGTATATAACAGATATACCATTCTTTTTTTAAACCACTGAAACAACATAAATATGGAAAGAGACTATTTACAATTAGCCAAACCCACTCCTCTTGCACCTAGCGATCTTTACTAAAACTTTCAAAAGCATTCTCATCTTTCAAAACACTGTTAAAATTAAGTAAATGTAAGAGGAAAATAAATAGCACCTAATCAACTTTGAGATTATATTTACCTCCACTATCTTTTACCAATGCATAAACTTACCGTTTGACTGAGTCATATTCTGTGTATACCTGTGTAATATGGCCATGGTGTTCCCTAGGAAGAGCATTGTTCAGCATGGGATTGGTGCAAGGTGAAAGCGCTCAGGAGGGAAGGCTGGCAAAAATGGTCTGATTACTTGAGATTTCCATTTCCTCATCTGCAAAATAAACCCAGTAAATTCTCCCTTAAAGTAGTAAAAGAAATGATATATTTAAATCATCTGCCAAAGTGCTTGACTTACAGTAAGCATGTAGTAGATATTTTTCCTTCCTCCATGACACTTTCATATTTTTAAAAGCACCTACAACAGTGCTTTGTATATGATAGACAGTGAGAAGCTATCTGTGGTATAAAAATGTCATACTTTCAAAGTAAGTTATTAACCTGATCGCTAGCTTTCTTTTCTTCAGGCTAAGAAATCTTAGATTATTATTATGAAGGTTTTTGTAAAGGACTTAATAATTTTGAATATATTCTCTGGACTTCCTCCAAGTTCTCCACTGTGGCAGATAATCCTGGTTGCCTAGCCCACAGCCATGCGCTCATAGTGCCTCTCAGTGGAAAGAGACTCCTTCCTTTCCACTACATACTGAAGAAATCAGATATTCAGTTTCCTAGTATCCCTTGCTGCCAGAATGGGTAAGTGAGCCAATCGGGCCAATGGGACCTGAGAGGAATGCGTTGAGAAAACTTTTGAAAAGATTTTCTTTAATAAAATAGAAACTCTCTCCTTCCTGCTTTTGTCACTGGAGAGCATGATGTTTGGAACTACAGCAGCCATATTGTGACCATGAGGAGAGGCCAAAAGAATCACAAAGAAGCTAAACCTAGTGCTACCTGCAAATTCTAGTTATAAGGGAAAAATAGATCTCCATTATTTAAGCTACTTTTACTCAGATGTTCTACTTCTTGAAGCCATTAAGTATGTTTTAAATACATCCATGGTAAGTTTAAATTGTGTAGCCTTGTAATGAACCCAGCATTTTAATAACCAATGCTGGTAAATAGGCACATTAATAGCTGCTTTTCTGTTTTGTTTTTATTTACTGGGTAATCAATAAATTTTCTCTTTAGATAAGCTAAGTCAGCACATTACCTATTCTCTGCATTGAGTGGTGGTGGTTGCCTTCAAAAGTGAGACAGCTTTACTTGTCTGGTTCTAAACTAAAACTTATTACTGTTAAAAAATAAAGTCATGCAATTCAGTAAGGTACCAAAAAAAAAGGAAGTAAAAATCACTCTTAGTTCTAGTCCTCAGAGAAAACCATAATTGCCATTTTGCTGTGTTTCCTGCTAGACTCTTTTTTTAATGCATCCACTTTAGTTATTTTAGTCTGTTGCTCTTTACTTATTTTATAACAGAATCAGATTACTCAAGGGAGCAAATTGGTTGTGCTAGCTGGATGTCAGAATCCTGAAGCCCTTCTACTGGCACAGCCGGAGAAGGAGCAGCAGCTTGCCTGCACACCTAGAACCCAAACCTGCGATCTGGTATGGAGTGTGTCCAGCCTTTGGAGAGGTAACCCGGCTTTTACTAGATGGACTGGTTTCTTCTTTCCCTACTCCAACTAAATCTATTCTCCACACCCAAGGGAGCAGATGTTCCCCGGGGTGGAAGTTCCCATAGAAAAGGACATTGATTTAATGTATTAACAGTTTGGAGTAGGCTGGGAAAGGAAAGCTACTTTCTAATACACACAGAGCCAGACTGGTAAACCACGAAGGGTGGAAGTCAGAACTGCAGCACTAGGGGGAAATAGTCTCAAACTGTAAGGAAAGAGCAGGGAGAGTAAGGATGCCTGGGAGGCAACCTCAAGAGATGTTAAAGGGGTCATGGCTTGGAACAAATGGCTTTTAACCACTTGGCCCAAATCTATAAGCTGCTTCTCCATCATCTCAAGTGATTGTATTTCCGAATGGTATACTGATGATTGTGATATTTTTAAAACTCTTTTAATTAAATTTGGTTTGAAAACATACACATCGGTGGCTGTGGCACTTGGTAATGGCAGCTGGGACAGGGAGCAAAGAGGAGAGAGTGAGGTAAAGTTAGATGAAGGGCCCCCCCGCCCTGCACCTGCCTTCATATGGTCCAGGAAGTATCTGCTGTGGACCAAGGGGAATGAAGGAGCCTGGCAGGGATGTCCTCTTCCCTATCCACCTGCATGGCCATCTCTCTCATGTTGGTTTCTAAGTACTTTGAGCCTAAGTACTCCTGAAGTAACTCAAGCCTTGGCTTCATAGGAGTCACTGGCATCTCTCAGACCTGGACCTCCAGAATAGTGGTGTGTTCATTTCCTAGAGCTGCTGTAATGAAATATCAAAAACTGGTGGCTTAAGGAGTGGCATGATATATTTAAAGTGCTGAAAGGGAAAAATCTGCAGCCAAGAATACCCTACCCAGCAAGGCTGTCATTCAGAACAGAGGGAGAGATAAAGAGTTTCTTAGAGAAACAAAAGCTAAAGGAGTTTAGTTTCGTTTAACACTAAACCAGCCCTACAAGAAATGTTAAAGGGGACTCTTTGAGTGGAAAGGAAAGACGATAAGTAAGAGCATGAAAAGTAGGAAACACAAAAGCAATAAAAAAAATAGATTTGTATAAATCAGTCATGTGATTCACAGAATAAAAGCATGTAAAATATCACACCATATACCTAAAATGTATGGGGAAGAGGCATAAAACATGAGTTCAAAATTGGGTGATCATTGACTTAATATTGACTGCTACATACAGAAGATGTTATATACAAATCTAATAGTAACCACAAATCAAAACCCAATAATAGATATGCAAAGAAAAAAGAGAAAGAAATCCAAATATATCATTTAAAAAAGGTAGCAAACCATAAAAGAGAGCAAGAGAAGAAAACATCAAAGAAACACTACAAAAACAATCATGAAACAAGTAACAAAATGGCAATAAATACATATCTATCAACAATTACTTTGAAGAGTACAGGGTGACAGGGGCGCCTGGGTGGCTCAGTCGTTAAGCGTCTGCCTTCGGCTCAGGTCATGATCCCAGGGTCCTGGGATTGAGCCCCGCATCGGGCTCCCTGCTCGGTTGGAAGCCGCTTCTCCCTCTCCTACTCCCCCTGCTTATGTTCCCTCTCTCGCTATCTCTCTCTGTGTCAAATAAATAAAATCTTAAAAAAAAAAAAAAAAGAGATACAGGGTGACAGAATGTATAAAAAAAAAAAGACCCATTTATATGCTGCCTACAGGACACTCATTTCAGACCTAAGGACACCCGCAGATTGAAAGTGAGGTGATAGAAAAACATTTACCATGCAACTGGATGTCAGAAGAAAGCCAGGATAGCCATACTTATAACACAAAAAATAGACTTTAAAACAAAGACTATAACCAGAGACAAAGAAGGACCATGTGTAATAATAAGGGGGATAATCCAACCGGAAGATATAACAATTGTAAACAATTATGCACCCAACAGGAGAGCACCCAAATAAATAAAACAGTTAATAACAAACATAAAATAACTAACTGATAGTAATACAATAGTAGGGGACTTTAACACTCCCCCCACCCTTATATCAATAGATCATCCAAACAGAAAAATCAACAAGGAAACAGTGGCTTTCAAGGACACACTGGACTGGATGGATTTAACAGGTATATTCAGAATATTCTATCCTAAAATGGCACAATACACAGAACATTCTCCAGAACAGATCACATATTAGACCACAAAACAAGTCTCAATAAATTCAAAAGGATCGAAGTCATAACCATGCATCTTCTCTGACCACAATGCTATGAGAAAACAACCACAAGAAAAATCTGGAAAGAGCATAAATACATGGAGGTTAAATAACATGCTACTAAACAATGAATGGGTCAACCAAGAAATCAAAGAAAAAATAAAAAATTGCATGGAGACAAATGAAAATGAGAGCACAACAGTCCAAAATCTTTAGGAGGCAGCAAAAGCATCTAAGTTCTAAGAGGGAAATTTATAGCAATACAGGCCTACCTCAGGAAGCAACAGAAATCTCAAATAAACTGCCTAACCTTATACCTAAAGGAGCTAGAAAAAGAAGAACAAAACCCAAAGCCACAAGGAGGAAGGAAATAATAAAATTAAAGCAGAAATAAATGATATAGAAACTAAAAAACAAACAATAGAACAGATCAATGAAACCAGGAGCTGTTTCTCTGAAAAAAATAAACAAAATTGATAAACCTCTAGCCAGACTCATCCAAAGAGAAGAAGAGGAAGAAGAAGCAGAAGTAGAAGCAGAAGCAGAAGAAGAAGAAGAAGGGCGCCTGGGTGGCTCAGTTGTTTAAGCGACTGCCTTCGGCTCAGGTCATGATCCTGGAGTCCCGGGATCGAGTCCCGCATCGGGCTCCCTGCTCAGCGGGGAGTCTGCTTCTCCCTCTGACCCTCCTCCCTCTCATGCTCTCTGTCTCTCATTCTCTCTGTCTCAAATAAATAAATAAAAAAAAAGAAGAAGAAGAAGAAAGAGAGAGAGAGAGAGAGAAAGGACGCAAACAAAATCACAAATGAAAGAGAAATAACAACTGGTACCAGAGAAATACAAACAATTGTAATAGAATATTATGAAAAATTATATGCCAAAAAACTGAACAACCTAGAGGAGGTGGATAAATTCCTAGAAACATATAACCTACCAAAACTGAAGAAGGAATAAATAGAAAATTTGAATGGACCAATTACCAGCAATGATATTGAATTTGTAATAAAAAAAACTCCCAACAAATAAACATCCAGCACCAGACGGCTTCACAAGCAAATTTTACCAAACATTTAAAGAAGAATTAATACCTATTCTTCTCAAACTATTCCAAAAAATAGAAGAAGAAACCTTCTAAATTCATTCTATGAGGCAAGCATTACCCTGATACCAAAACCAGATAAAGACACCACAAACAAAGAGAACTACAGGCCAATATCTCTCATGAATATAGATGCAAAAATTCTCAACAAAATACTGATAAATCAAATCCAACAATACATTAAAAAATCATTCACCATGACCAAGTGGGATTTATTTCTGGGATGCAAGGGTGGTTCAATATTTGCAAATCAATCAACATGATATGTCACATCAACAAGAGAAAGGATAAAACCATATGATCATTTCAACACATGCAGAATAAATATTTGACAAAGT